TCTCTCTATCTCTCTCTCTCTCCCTCCCTCTCCCTCTCTGTCTCTCTCTCTGTCTCTCTCTCTCTCTTTTGTCAGCAAAACTATGAACACACTTACGTACCTGTTTGAAGAGGAGAACAATGATGGGTGTGACGTGGACTGGAATGGCGTTCGGCCCGTACAGAACGTGCCTGAAAGTGCACACAAGTGTTGTTTGTATCATCTGGGAACCAAAAGTTTGCTATTCTAATGTGTATCTTTTAGAATCTTTGAAAGATTGTCGTATTCGGTTTACAGACCAATTAACAAAATCTTTGATTACCAAGAAGATGAGCTGATAAGTCTGTAACTGTCCGGACCAATCAGGGTTGTTGTTGCTGTTGTTGTTGTTGTTGTTGTTGTTGTTGTTGTTGTTGTTGTTGTTGTTGTTGTTGTTGTTTCTATTTTTCCTTTCGAATTCGATACCTATGTGTGCATTTCAAAATGATCTCGTCTATAATTCAAATATTTTCCTACTTCATGCTGAGATCAACAAAGTAAATTTGGTGGGTACATGGTCTTCTGTTTTTACTCTTAAGAGCACCTGAGGAAATTCCTTAATGTGCGTCTGTCTTTGGTAAGACTTGCTTCTCTTCCGTGCCTCTGTTGGTGGTTTCTGTCCTTCTTTATCTTTCAGTTCATGAAATAACCATCAATGTGAGCATTTACTCTTTACTTTGGTATGTAGAATTTAAAGATGTTTCTATATAATATTTCTTTATCTATTGATTTATCCATCCATCCTTCCTTCTGTCTATCTATATATTTGTCTACCTACCTACCTATCTACCTATCTATCTATGTATGTATGTATGTATGTATCTATCTATCTAATTCATCTTTCTAAATAATTTGCTGCAAATAAAATGTTTTGGCCTGAATCTTTTTAAAAAAACGTAAACTCATGACGTATAAGTGGGAAAAGAGAGAGAGAGAGAGCGAGAGAGGGAGAGTGAGAGAGAGAGAGAGTGAAAGAGAGAGAGAGAGGGGGAGAGAGAGAGGGAGATAGAGAGAGAGAGAGAGAGCTCGACAAAGAAACAAAACAAAACAACAACACGTCAACGCACACACCCCGGCACGTCATAACCTCCAATCCATGTAACTAAGCATCGGTTGTTCCAACTCCAAAGTGCGTACGTGTGTTTTATCACTCGCTCTTAAAACCATTAACTTTATTTATTTCTTTTCTCTTCCTGTAATTTCGTCAACGACTAGAACTACACCTAATAGCAAAGGCAGAAGGAAAAAAAAAACGCGAAAAAAAACACCGGAGCTCCATGTTCTAGGAAGTTCAGGCGATCACCAATTACGGTCTTCGATTTTCAGACCTCAGCGTAAAATGACGTCATGGTTACCCATGGGTCTTTACAGAAATACAATATTATGGTCGATTACCAACAGCGTTCCCTCTGTCTTCACTATCAGTCAGCACCAGTTTTTGCTATCTGTGAACTGTGGTAATTTTGTTGTTAAAAATACACACGTACGTAGATAGCACTAGGTCGGGGGGCACGACGTGTTCTCAGCTCCACACTGTATCGATCGATCGTTGGCGACAAAAGCATGGTGGTTCTTCCATTTCCTCTGTAGGACTGAGTGTGTGTGTGTGGGGGG